TCCCTAGACCTAGCAGCATGCAGTGCAGAGCTACAGTGAGGACATGCGGCATGTAGGCGAAGTTTACCCCCGAAAGGTCCATCAGGCAAGGCTTTTGGGGTTTTCAAGGGGGTATAGGGTTGAGAGGGACTGAGGGGTTTATGGGGCTTGTAGGGTCTATAGATAGAGCTTAGGGTTTAGGTCTTAGGCTTAGCAAAAGAAACGATACTCCCTAGCAAATATTAGAGTTTTTGCTGTTTAATTATAGTACCCAAAAATTGAAAATTATTTCCAAGTACCCCTAAGGAAGGCCCTCAGCTATGTACTAGAGACTGGGAATTCCGAATTTAAGTTGGCGGGGCACCAGAAATCTGAGTTTGTTTCGGGCTGAGAGTCTTACACAAAACCTTACAAACCCTGCAGGCCCCAATACAACCCACAAACCCCATAAACTCGGCAAGCCCTACCGACCCCATCAACCCTTCAAACCCCAAACCCCTACCCTAAACCTTAAACCCCTGAACCTTAATCCCTAAACCCATTAACCCTACAAACCCAAGACCCTAAACCTAAACCCTAAACCTTCAACCCTAAACCCTGCAGCCCTAGCACGCGCTCGCGAAGCCGAACGCCCCCATTGGCCAAGGTGCCGATGGTACCGCCCCCATCGTAGTCTAGCATGTCGAAGAGCTCCCTGGGCTTTGCTTTCGTGACGGTTTGGGGTCAGCCCTAAACCCTAAACCCTGGACCCTGAACCCTAAGCCTAGGGGTTTGGGGGTTTAGGGCTGAGAGAGTTTCGAGGGGGTTGGGTTTAGTTTAAGGCTCAGGGTTTAAAAACAAAGGTTCGGGTTGCAGCGTTTCGGGGGTTGTAGGAATGTAGGGGCGGGGTATGAGCTCCATGTTTCCGGCAACACCAAAATGCAGCCTCTCCGGCCCCTCAACACAAAAACGCTGCGATTCCTTCCGTGACAGGATTCCCCCAAAAGGAGGCACGCCGATCTTCTCTGTGAATCCCTTCTGTAGATGTATATAGACCCGGGTCCTGCACCAAGTACTCTCAAGTCTCAAGGCTTGAGGTTCTTGGAGCCGCTGCAGGGCATTTAACGATTCTCAGCTGGGTCGTCCACCTGCCACCCGAAACCCAACACCCAAACTCCAAACCCCGTGCTTTACCAAACCCGGAAGCAACTGAAAGCCTCCCAGCCTCTTTCCCCAATCTGTCAAAGCCTTCAAAACCACACCCTCGAAAGTCAGAAAACACAAAAACACGCATGTTATGCACATGCCCTAAACCTCAAACCCCAAACCCGACACTTTAAACCGAATGCTTTGTGGCGGCATCCCTCACAATTGTATACTCCGACAGGAATGGTCCCGGTTGCTTCAGGTCGTCTGTGGCCACAATCTCCTGTGGGTTTCGAGTTGTTCTTGGCTTTGCAAGGGTTGAGGAGTTTAGGGCTTCAGAGGCTTGGAATGTTGCCTTCTCGGGGCTTTAGCCGCTTTCGGGGTTTTAGGGGCTAAGCCCTCTAAACCCTAAACCCTAAACCCTTTACCTCAAACCCCAAAACCCTAACCCCAAAACACTAAACCCTAAGGCCCTCACCCCTAACCCTAAACCGCCGATTTTTGGAGCCAAAACCACAGAACAACCTGAAAACAACAACCCGAACGCCCTGGAGCTCCTTGAGTTGTTGCTGCGTTTCCTCCGGGGCGTTGTTGATCTCCTGTGCCGTGCAGCCGAAGCTAAAGGTTGAGGGGGCTTTAAGGTTTAGGGCTTTAGGCTTTAGGCTTTAGGGTTTAGGGTTTAGGGTTTAGGGTTTAGGGTTTGAGTTTGGGGTTTAGGGTTTGAGTTTGGGGTTTAGGGTTTAGGGTTAGCTTTAGGGCTTTAGGGCTTAGGGCTTTAGGGCCTCAGGGTTTAGGGTCTACGCAGCCTTACGGTTTAGGTTTAGGGTTTAGGGTTTATAGGGGATTGGGGTTTAGTGTTTGGGGTCTAAACGCGTATGTGATGCCCACAAGCCAGCAGCAAGAGTCAGCAAGAGGGACGCGCAACTCACAGGCTTAGCGGCTTAGCCCTTCGCCCACGAGGGCTCCCACAACAAAAACGCTTTCTACAGGAAAGCTCTCGTGACTTTGTTTGTTTAGGGTTTAGGGTTTATGGTTTTGGGTCTAGGGTCTAGCGTCTAGGGTCTAGGGTCTAGCGTCTAGGGTCTAGGGTTTAGGGTTTAGGGTATAGGGCATAGGGTTCAGGGTTCAGGGTTCAGGGTTTGGGTTTAGGGTCTAGGGTCTAGGGTTCAGGGCTTAGGGTTTAGGGTTAGCATCCCCTACGAACCTTATTCTAATTCCCATGACTCACCTTACTAACCCTACTCGCTAAGTCAAAAGAGCTTCCAAGTAGGGGGTCCTCGACACCTTTGCTTAGGGTTTGGGGCTTGCGGCGACGCGACTCAGCCTTCCCCATGTTTGAAAGATCTTTGATGGCCCTAAACCCTAAACCCTCAACCCTAAACCGTAAGAAGCACAAGACGCCTTTACCCTGAATCCCAAACCCCTGCAGCGCCCCAACAAAGTCCTGATCCCTGAGCCCTAAACTGCACTAAGCCCTCACCCCAAACCCTATTTCCGCTACCCTAAAACCCTAGTTCCCCTAAACCCCAAACTCCAAACCCTAAACACACCAAACCCCAAACCCCAAACCCTAAACCCCAAACCCTAAACCCTAGACCGCCAAACCGCCTCAAATCACAACGAACGCCACTCCCCGGCCTCCAGGGTCAGCTCGCCGGATCCATCCTGCCGCAAGTCCCCCAAAACCCAAGCGCAACCTAGGAATAAATATAATCCTCTTAAACCCAATAAGAGAGAATATGTAATATCCCAAAGGCCTACCTAACCCTAAACCCTATATTACACCACCGAAGGCCCCGAACAGTCAAAGGCACGTCAAAGAAACAGTGGAGACAACGGGAAACAAAGAGACAAAGGGAGAGGGAGACAAAGGGAGACAAGGAGCCCAACAACCCGGCAACAGTCCTCAGAATGTCGGCAATCCTTAAATGAGTTTAGAACCCCAATTTGGGGAAAATAGGGTTGCTCGTGTTATGATGATTATTGTTATTATTCTTGCAACTTGAGTTGATTTTGTGATGATAAATACTACTACCCGAATTGCTATAGTTATAATCACGCTAACAGCTGTTCTCATTCTGACTATTGGTGTTGGATTATTGCTGCTCATATGTTTACTATTCCTACCGTGATTCTTCTTATTAAGATTCCTACTTACTACTATGTCTATGACTCTATGAATTTTGCTACTGCTACTGCTTGCACTGTTGTTGCCATAATCCTAGTAATAAGAATCAGTACTGCAACCTGTTGCCTATTCAGGCTTGCATGGTTTGCATGGTTTTATTGAGCTGAGGCCAATATGCAGCAAGATCTGTTGCTGCAACCACTTCCCAGCAATGCAAGGCATCCGGGCTTTGTCGTGTCCTCTTTGAGGGCACGATAGCATCAGGAAGAGCCGTAGGGCAATTGCTCCGCCAGTCTTCTCAAAGATCGAACCTTCTTCGGTCCATTATGAGAGGTGGTGAATGCATGGCAAAAACGCCAGAAACAATCGTCTTGCTGATCTTTCAAGTATTGAACCTTCTTCGGTCCATCAGAAGGATGCAGCATCATGAACAACTTGGCTCATTCCTTCTGCGCAGTTTTCTGGTGGCCCACGATGATTGGAGGGAGGCTTCCATCCTGGGCCACAACATGGCTTGGAATGGCTTGCTTCGGCAGGCCTGGGGGTGCGTCTGTGGGCTCAGGCCTCCATGCCGTGGGTGCTGGCAAGCCTGGAGGGGTCGCTGGGTACACTGCGGGTGCAACTGGTGGCCTGGGTGGAACGGGAGCTGGGGCAGCGTCTTCGGCATCCTCTGCGTCGATGCGTGCGGCTGCCTCATCTGTGACGCCCAACTCGAAGGTGGCGTAGACAAACTTGGAGATGTTCAGGATGCTGAGAGCAATTGAAAGCACCCTGAAAACAAAGGCCCTCAGAGTGGTCACGTGAAGCAGCGTGGAGTACTGCAAGCAGAGTGAAAGCGGCGCCTCGACCGACTTCTCCGACCGCAGGGCTTGGATGAAGCCATTGGTTGGATATCCGGCTTTCCTGGACTTCGCGAATCCAGCATAGGCTTCGACCATCTGGATTTTACCACGGTAGCAGTCCAGGGCCATCGGGCCAGCGATCATGGCGATCTGGACTGCTGCAAGGCCATACCTCGACTTGTTACATTGTGCCCACGAGCACAGCAAGAATGCGTTCTTCCTACCTACTGGCCTAGGAAGAAAACAGTAGGGGCCTAGATCAAATGGCATGACAAGAGAGCCGCCATCATAAAAGAACGAGGTTCATAACAGTCTCAGAACGAACGGAGAATAGGCAAGAACAGGGATAAGAGTTGCCAAAAGGACTCTTCTAGCTCCCTTTGGATCTTTATGTTGCAGCATGGCTTGATCGTGCAGGCCTGGGCTGGCTAGCGCTTGATGGAAGCAATGCTGTACTCCGCTTTCATCTTACAACCCTGGGCCCTAAATCCGAAGCCCCTAAACCCTCGACCCTAAAACCAACAAACCCTAAACCCTAAACCCTATCCCTAGTAACTGGGCTAAGGGGTGGCAGTTGCGCTTCCTTGGGGGTCAAAGGAAACAAACCAGGGGTTTGCGGCTTCAGCTTCAGGGTCTGCAGTCCATAAGGGGATGGGGCCTGATAAGGGCCAAGCCTTCCAAGCGGCCTCCTATCTTGAACATAAACGGTATACAACCCAGCCTTGAGAAGCTTAGATTGTGACAGAAAGCCTAAAGGCACAAAAGCACAACACAAACATGTCCCCCGCCAGCAGTGCAGCCAATGATGCTCCCGGCTTTGCAAGAATTCGATCGCGCAGTACCAGTCGCTGACGTAATCCAAGAGGAATAAACCAAATTCCTGGCACCAAGCAAGGGCAGACAGTTATCTACAGCAACGACAGCTATTACTTCGCTCCATCTCCTGTTCTAGACTCACCATGAGTTGGTCCTGGTAAAGACGAACTCGGTCCATCGTACTGGGCTTGGTATCGCCCCGCTTCATCTGCCTTCGCAGTTCCACTGCCTTTTGCTCGATGACCCGCGCCAAGGTGTCGTCTGGAGGCACGGACCACAATGTGTAGAGCCCCTCTCTCTCTCTCTCTCCAAAGGTGAGGTAGGGAAAAGCTGAGTGAGAGCCATACTACCAGTGCCACCGCTGGAAAGTAGAGAAGGCACTGTGTTGCCAGCTTCCATGACGACAGCTGCCCAATGGAGGCTGCCTCACTTTTTAAGACGCAGCCCGCGAAGGCTGCACGAACGGTGTTCTGCGTCATGTTTCCATTCCCATAGTGCTGCAGGAAGAAGGCTTCCTGGGAGAAGCCAGGGTTGAGGGTGTCGTTCCTTGCACCCGCGCACCAACCGCGGAAGTCTTCGGGTGTGATCTCGGACAAGCAGCTAAAGCGCTCCACGCAGTACCGGCATCGGGACCAATAGAAGTCGGGGCTGCCACTTTCCTTGTCGGGGAATTCTCTGCCCGGGGTATCAAAGGGCCACGAGGCTGGCCAACCAAGAAATTGAGAGCGCAGCCATTCACAGTCAACTGCCCCTGTGCAGAAGCCATTCTCCGCAAAAACAGCTTTCATCATCGTAAAGCCTTTGAGTGCACGGCAGTCCACTTCTCTAGGAAAGGCCGTCGCAATCTCTCGGCACCCCAGACCCGACCCATAATTAAGGCGCCAACTGTGGAAGCAGCGCCAGCTCGACATGTCTGGGTAGCCGGAGTAAGCCTGAAAAGGAAAGAATGCCGCAAAGAATGCGACGCATGTAGCACCACGGAGCAGGGCTGATGGCAGGTAGAACTGAACGGCACTGCGCTGCCCCGGACACAGTCCGTGCCTTGGCTTCCCAGTTTGTTGGCAAGGCGCAGTGACAAGCACGCGCACAAGCAACGCTGCGTGCCGTGCCGCATCTATTCCTATAGGTCCTAACCCTGATCTTGTAAAACCCCTTAATTTAGGAAAATACCCGAATTCAGAATATGGATATGGGAACATTCCTTAATTAAGGGGTTTTGGGAGATCTGAGAAACAAATGCTATATCAATAGCAAGAGCAGCCAAGCTGCCTTGAATGCATACCTGGCCAGACCACTAGCAATGGCATCTTCACAAAGGCTTGTAGAAAGCCTTGCTCATAGTGCCTGAGGATGTCTGACTTTCCACCCCTGACCTGTCTAAATCCCTGGCACTCCAAATAACACGCCCCAGGCCCCCCTTGTTCATACTTACTTGCAGCCCAAACGGCTATAGCCACGAATGTAAAAGCTGAAAACTTGCACCTCCTTTTTACCCCTTAGACTGCCTGCAACAGGCTATGGCCAGCATGATCACCCCAGGGATTGCCAGAAAAAATCCGCTCGCGAGGAGGCTGCACTGCACGATGCAAAGCCATGAGGCAACCTCCAGAATTACCATGAACCTCGCGGCGCACACTAAAGGCTTCAGGTGTGTATCTATGGTTGAGGATGACAGGAACATACCTAGGCCTGTGAAACCGAAGATGTAGCAGCTTTGCACTCAGCTTACAAGCGGATGTCCACTGTTTCATAGTTTGCGAAAGTACTCAGCGATCTTACCGGTCTTGTGCACAACACCGTACATTTTTTGTGTCATCCCTGCCCTCTTCTCAATCTGCAACGACCTCTCCTAAACCCTAAACCCTAAACCCTAAACCCTAAACCCTAATCAAGTATGCCCTGAGCTGGAAGCAGGGGCTCCTAGCTCAACAGTAAAGTTACGCAAAGCAACACTCACAAAAGCTTATCCTCAGGACTTGTGCTGTTGTTGAGGCTCCAACTTCACACCTCTTGTCAGCCTACAACCCGAGACACAAAATAACCCCTTCTGCAGGCTGGTAGATACTGGCGATTGTTGCTATCGTTGCTGTGCTTGTAGTTGTTGTGATATTCTTGCCGCTTGCATTGAGTTCCACGTCCGCCCGCCGTGCTCACCAACCACAACTAGCAAACCCGATAAACTCTCCAACCCCACGCCAGACCATTACAATCAGTTATTGGGTCCTTCAGATGCGGGGTAGGCTAGGTACATACCCCCCCCCCCCCCACCAGGGTTTAGGGTTAAGGGTTTCGGTCCACGTAAAACATTCAGGTTGCGAACGCACTCCAGCCTCTGGAAGCCCCTGAACAGCCTTCGAAAACTGCGAAGTGGAACGATTATTGCCATTGTCTTTAGTACTACGACCGTGGTCAGTATTATTACCCGAAGCACGCCAGGTTTGCCGTCAGCTACGGCTGTGGCTTTGGGGCGGGGGGGGGGGCAGGGGTGGGGGGGGTGGGGGGGTTGAGAACGTCATTCATATTGCATGCATACCCAAAACACTGGTATTTACAGCGTTTTCGTCTCTTTGTACAGCATACTGCACAAGGATGTGGAACAAGAAAATCTGT